CTACTATATATACTAATATTACCTTTACTTTTAAATAATTACATATATTATCACTTTTAGTATTTATACCATATATTAATATATTATTGAAGATATAAGTAGATACCCACATCCCTTAAAACTAGGATTGATTAATTATCTGCTTAATTAACTTTGATCTTTCACTCCAAATCAACCACTATCTCTTAATTCTCCGCTCCCATATTTATCACTCAATTATGTCTGCTCCTTTCTGATTCAAGAATTTCACCGTACAATTTCATTCCAACAATAGATCTACTCTCTTCTTCTCAAGATATCACATCATGGCCGACAAATTCTCCTAAACCCAAATATTATTTTGTATTGTTCATTTATAACGAAATCAAAAAAGTAATTGTTACAGAGAACACTTTCAATTCAAAGTGGGTCTTGATTGTTTGTCTTCTTAAGAAATGAATCTTAGTTTTGATTATGTTAGTCGACAACGCAAAAGGATCAAGCGGAGTATTGTAGAGAGTTTTTGTTTGTTGGTGTTCTTCTAAGGCTTTCTCTAGTTACTGTCACATGGATGTGGTAGTACCAATATTACTTGGATATAGCCCTTGAAATATGTGTATCCAATAAGTAGTAATCTTAATTAAGATCTGAGTTGTATTTTTAGTAATGGGGTATCCGAACATGTATATGTATCCACCATTAAATTTCAGATATTAATGATATGACAGATACTCTAGAGTCGTGATTTGTTCCTAAATTCATGTTTTTTAGTTACTTTCCATATATATTTAGATACATATAATTAAATGTATATGCTTATTATGTATTCGAGATACATGTTTTTGGATATAATGTATGAAATTTAGATACACATAATTAGATGTATATGCTTCTTCTTTTTGTATATTACATATTTAGATACTACTATGTATTCGAGATACATGTTTCTGGATATAACATATGCAATTGAAATTTGATACATCAAATTAATACTAGATACATATAAAAGATACATGAAATTAATACTAGATCAAATAAATAGATACATATAACAAATACATGAAATTAATACTAGATACTTTTTATGATACATATGAATGTACTTGTATGACACTCATGTATCTAAGTGTGTAGTTTGTTGGATACATCATATATTGATAATAGATACATCAAATTAATGAATTTATTATATTAAGAGTAATAGTTTGAAATTAATCAAATTACATTAACAAGATATACATGTTTTTATCTTTTATTAATAATATTGATGAATTTATTATTTCAAAGAATAATAAAATGAAATTAATTAGACATAAATACACTCTTGATTTTCATCTTATTTTAAGGGATTTGATTAATTTAAATTTTCAGAATTAATTGTCTATCTATTCTGAAAATCCTCAATTACTCCTCTAATTAAGGAAATCAGTTACAACCAATTAATTTAAATAAATAAATTTAAATAGAATATGTATCCTGATTTTAAAATTCGGCAGATACATGTATCTCACGGATTCAGACTCATGTATCCTCAACACGAAATATGGTAGAGGAAGTAATATTTGAAACTATCAAGAATCTTAGTAATTAAGACCTAATCTAGTGAAATTTATGTAGTTTGCCCTAAATTTTACTAGTTTAGATCCTAATTACTCAGTTTAGATACATCTATTAAAGTGTTTGAATTAAATGATTATAACTGATTTGCTCAATCAATAGAGTAATTCAACACTGTTAATAACTTTTGAGAATCTTGATATCTATTTTTTCACAATAGCCATTTTTATTTCATTTCAAAACTGTGATTGTGAAGTTGTTTTTACACTAGCCAGATTCATATACATATCGGATACATAAACAAAAAAATCAGATTCAAGACATTAATCACTTAGATACATTAATAGAAAGAAGATACAAGACATCAAAAGCTTAGATACATTAACATAAAGATCAAATACATAAAAATATTACATCACATACAATATTACATAAAAATACATAACAAAACAATTGATGTTTGAATAGGAGTAATTCTCATTTATGTGTTGAGAGAATGAATGAAAATCGTTTTTGATAGATATTCTGAAGAAACTGTGTGTTCAAAAGGATGAAGAGAGAAAAAATGGTGAAGAACCTGGAGAGATATTGTTGGGGGAGGAGAGGAGATTGAGGGAGGTTGAATTGTTGAAGTACCTTTAATTAAGAGAGATAATTATTCAATATCATATTTAAGAATTTTGTGTATCTGATTTAATTTTTTAAAATATATGGTATAATTATTAAAAAATGATATTATGACTAATATTTTTAAACTATAGATAAAGTATGTATATATAGTAATTAAATATGTCTAATTAATTAGTTTTACCAAAGAAGTAAGCCCAAAAATAGGCCCAAAAACCGATTGTGTTGAATGTTTCACATGTCAGCAAGTTTTCAAATGAAGTTGCTCCTTTCAATAATAATCTCAAATATAAAGTTATAAAAATTATAAAGTTAATATAGCCTTGATTAAAATAATAATAATAATAATAATAATAATAATAATAATAATAATAATAATAATAATAAGTGAACTCTTCTATCAAATTTATTTGAATTCTAGCTTTTACTATTCAATTTTTTTATTTCAATTGTAACCCTCTTCTATCAAATTTATTTCAATTCTAGCCTTTTCTATTCAATTTTTTATTTCAATTGTAACCTGACCCAAATCTCATCTCATAAACCCCTTCTTCATTTCACCTAAACCAAACCCATTTGAATTTGTTTCGTTTGGAATTTGATTCCGGGTTCTTCTACTTCATATTTTTTTCATATAAATATATTATTTTTTTTTAAAAATAATTTCTTAAGTCTTATAGATCTCATAAATATAATATTTGAATCAATATGAACTGATATTATTGTATTTATTTTTATGAGCTTTTATATGAATCATGAAGTTGTAATATCTCACCTACTTTTATTCACACTTATTTGATGACAAGTCACAACACACCCAAATTACATCTCACCTACAATTTCCTTCACTCTATTTTTCTTCTCTATTTAATTCCAAATTACTTTCATTCCTCTCTCTCCCCTTCCACCGGAAAACCACAGCGGCGCTTTTCTTCTCTCCAGCGCCGCCTGCATGTGGCCAGCGGATAGAGAACTCCGGTCAGCAGCCGCAATGATGACCATTTGGACACAAAGGTTGGAGATTTTGGATTGAGATAGTTCACGTAGAAAAAAAAGAATGATAATTAAAGTATACGAAAAAAAAAAATGATAAATCAAATGTGATAATTTTGATCACTATCTCTATTATATATTATAACAACACTAATAATCCCATAGCTAATTAATTATTATTACTATTATGTTCTTGTCCCCTCTTCTTCCCCCATTGTAGCCTTATTCTCTTTGCTGCTCCTTAATTATAACTCATCAACTTCTTCTAGTAAAATTTGCCATGTCCTCACCATGTTTATTTAAGACCTCCATTTCATTCTCACCTGTTGAAAACATAATTAAGTTAATAATATATATATTTTTAAAAATAATTATGTATTTTTTTAAATAGTTATAATTTATTCGAATCATATGGTTATTACATATTATTTCATAATATATTCTTATATTGTATTATATTATTTCTAAATAGATCGTATCATTTTTTGTCGTTTTATAATCATGCACCAACAAATTGAAGACTAAGCTTTTAGTATTACAAAGAAAAAGTAAAATATGCTTATTAAATAACAAAGACAAAATGAGGAGAAAAAAGGCAACCACATACGCTTATAATAAGATTATAATATTTGTTTTGTCGTTATTTGTTAAGTTGTGATTTTCTTCTCTCCAGCTAGCGCCTGCATGTGGGCAATGATGAACATTTGGACACAAAGGTTGGAGATTTTGGGCTGCTTAAGACGGTATATATTACTATATTCTCATCTTTTTCACAATTTTCTCAAATCTGTCTATGTGTATCTCGTGTTATATATATATATATAATACAAAAAGTTGCAATTTATAATATGTTGAATAAGTATCAATGCAAATAGTTTGCTTCAAAAAGCTTACCAAAATAGTAATATACATTACGTTTTTTAAGCAATGGAATAGAAGAATGAATTAATTCTAGTTGAATGTTTAGAACATATAAAACATGAATTTTAAATGTATGAAACGAAAAATAAATTTAATCATGTAAGTCATAAGACACAATGATACATAGAAAAATGTGATTAAAAAGTATTCCATAAGAGTCCTTAAATTTAATATAGGTTTGACAAGGAATGGTAAGTCATTCTAAAAATTCATCATATTTTATAACATCAAATTTTCATGAAGTCACGATTAGAAAAAACTTTTATTTCTGATAGCTAATGTATGTGCTATCTATTTTATTTTATTTTTTTGCATCTCAATTTACGATTTCCTCGTTCATTAGAGATTATCGATTATCTACTTTTAATTAAATGATCAAATAAATATCATTTTCTTAACAATACGCATGTTTACTAATTTTAAAGTGAAAATTTCTAATATGACATATATTATACTAATATTTTCGAGTTATAGCAGTAGATTTAGACTTTCAAGTTATAACATTAAAAATTTCAGGTTATAACATATTATTAAAATAAAAAAGTATTTCTAATAATTAAAAACATTTGATTTTGAAAATAATAAACTGATAAAAAGAAATTAAAATAAAACGTTTAAGAATGAAAAAATGAAAAAAAACGGAAATAGGGGATGGCTTTTAAATTTGAATTAAATTAAGATAACTATTAATTAGCACGAATTAAGGAATTTCAAACTAATTAAGAATATTCAGTTTCCTTAATTCACTCCAATTTGTTAAAATTAATTTAAAAATCAGATTTGTTATCCATTTTTCTTTTATGTTTCTCTCTCTTCGTCTTTTCTTCCAGAAATTGAGACTGTCGGCAATTATTTTTATTTTTTTTTGTTGAAAAACGTATTTTTTTTTGTGATGGACAACTACGTATCGATATTAATTAAACATGGCGGAAGATGGATTGCTTCAGGTTATTATTTTTAATTGTTTACTGTTTTTATTTGGATTTCAATGAAATATAAAAAAATGAAAATGTAAAGCATAACTACATTGAATGTGATATTTTTTTATGTATAAACAATATGTTTTGTTCATAATACTTATTACTTGTTGTGAAATTGTAATATTAGTGATTTTTTTGGTAAATTTCTGTTTTTTGGTAGTGGTTTAGTGTAATTATAATTAATTTGGTACGAAATTGTATTCAGTAAGGTGAAAAAAAGGTTGTTTAGACTTTTGAAGAAATAGATGACAGTTGTTTTAAGTTAATATGAAAGTGTGTTAACTAGTTAGAAAAAAAAGTTATTTTAAAGTTTGAATAAGTGTATTAAAAATGTTTTAAGTTGGTATGAAATTCAAAATGCTATTATTTGTATAAGTTTTTCAGTTATGTATAAATTTATGCGAAAGGAATGAACTATTTGGTATGAGAAATGTATAAATTTTGGTATATATGAATGCTGTATTAAGTATGTATGAAATCTGTTGTATGTTTTTTAAAATGAAATATGTTTGTAGTTTACTGTATGAATGATTCGAGAATGAAAAAATAATGACAAGTGTGTGTAATTTTTTATTTATTTATTATGTAAGACTAATTTTAGTTTTTTTAATGAAACAGGGAAATATGTTGATTTTCAGATGGAGGGGATTATATATGAGTATTCTAGTCTTTATAGTGGTCTAGTAAGTGCGATAACATCGCAGCTAATGATAGATGCTAATATTCACAATATTGAGATAAAATATATAGTTAGTGATAGATGTCCCCCTGTTAGTATCCACAATGATGTAGGTGTGCAGGATTTTTTAGATCAAAAGAAATCTAATGTAGATTTCTTTACGAAATATCCATTGTGCATAACTTTGAAGAATATAGCAATAGATAATCAGGATTCTGTAGTTGTTGTGGATAGGAGACATTCTGATGTTAGTAGAACACTAACTAACTTTGATTTATACTCTAGCAACTCCATCCGCTTGATAGGAGTGAATTTAGATGGAGTTGTCGATGAGAATACGCATGAAGGAAATGGAGTAATCAGTGACCTTTCTAATTTATTTATAGCTGAAAATCAAATTTACAATGATAAAGAAACACTTATGGAGGTTATGCGACATTATGGAGTTGTGGAAAAATTCAGATTTCTTGTGACTCGTTCTAGTTCATCTTGGTAAGGATTTTATTTTTTGTTTGAATTTGTATTTATTTTGTAGTGTATTTAGTATATAAGTTTTTAATGGATTTTTTTTGTTTTTTAAACAGTTATTACCTGAAGTGTCCTGCTGATAATTGTTCCTGGATGATGAACTCATCATGTTTGAATCAATCGAAGCTATTTAAAATTAGAAAGTACTGTGCGGAACACACTTGTTCCGTTAGAGATAGAGTGTATGCAAGACGTCAGGGAATAACTGACGTTGTAGCTGTTTTAATAATGGATAAATTTATTGATCCATCGACTGTATACACTCCAAAAGATATAGCGGAAGACGTTTTGAAAGTGCATGATGTTGCGCTAACATACATGCAGGCCTGGAGAGCTAAAGAAAAGGCGATAAAATTGGTGCGTGGAGATCCAGCAGAATCATATGCCAAACTTCCAGGTTTTTTTTATAACTTAATTTTGTATTTTATATTACTGACTGAATTGGTGAGAATTTTAAAAATGCAACAATCTGGCATGCAGTTTGTTTACATATTGAATTCCCAATATCCATTTTGTTTACTTTCTGTATCCAATTGGTATCCATTCTATATATAATTTGAATATAATTGGTTTCCATGTTTTATCCAGCTAGTATATTTGTTGTGTTGTAATGTTCAGCTATATAACTATAAAATTAATTGTAAAAACTGAAAAAATTCTAGGTTATCTATACATATTGGAGCAGACATATCCTGGTTCAGTTTTAAAATTAGAAAGGACGGAATGTGATAAATTCTTATATGCATTTGTTGCATTAGAAGCATGTATTAGAGGTTGGGAGTATTGTAGGCCAATTGTAGTTGTTGATGGGGCAGCTTTCAGAGGCGCATATGGTGGTACAATGTTGACTGCAAGCACTATGGATCCAGGAGGTATTTTTTAAAAATTTTACATTTATAATCAACAATAAATTTGTATGATATTTGTTTTAATTAATGCATCAGGTCACATACTTCCACTTGCTTATGCCATAGTGGATTCTGAGAATGATGCATCATGGACCTGGTTCTTTGAACAGTTTAGGGAAGCATATGGAGAAAGGGAAAACATGTGTTTTATGTCAGATAGAAACGAGAGCATATGGAAAGGGACTGCAAGAGTATATCCTGGTTTGGAACATTTTGCATGCATATGGCACTTATGCTGTAATGTTTTGAAGAACTTCCATAGGAATACTGAAGATTTGAAGAAGCTATTTTTTACAATGGCAAAGGCTTATACAATACAACAATTTGAGGCGATTATGCAAAGAATAGACCAGATAGATCCAAGAATAAGAGATTATTTATATGATATCGGGTATAGCAAGTGGTCAAGGGCGTATTCAAAATGTAAGCGAACATGGACCATGACTTCAAACATAGCCGAATCTTTGAATAATGTTAACAGGATAGCAAGGAGGTTGCCAGTGATTTCACTTCTTGAATTTATGAGGGTAACAGTTCAAAGATGGATTCATAAGCACAATGAGGAGGCTACAAAAACTAGATCAGAGCTTACAAAAAAATATGATCTTGTGCTCCATAAAAGTATTGCTTTGTCTAGCAGTATGAGGGTATGATTTTCCCTTTATTATTTATTATTTAAATTTATTCATGTATTAAATTAGTATGATTATTGAATTAATTTTGTATAAATTGACAATTAGAATAAACAATACCATTTTTTTGTGACTCGTTTTTTTGTAACAGTATTTAAATGAGCAATATTTTTGTGTGTTAGGTAATACCATCAACAGTTGATATGCATGCTGTTGTTGATGGACCAAAGCGGTACATAGTAAATTTAAACACTAAGATGTGTAGTTGCGGAAGATTTCAAAATGATGAGATACCGTGCGGGCATGGAATAGCAGTTCTTAGATACAGAAGACTACATGAAACAGATTATTGCTCTCCTTTTTATAGCCTGAAGAATTTTCAAGATACATATGCCATCCCTGTTGAACCTCTCCCATGCGAGAGTACATGAGATATACCAAGTTATGTTTCAGAGCCTAAATTGATGCCGCCTGGTCCAAAGAGAGCAGCAGGAAGACCACAACTGGAACGCTGGAAAGGGTTTGCTGATGTAAAATTCAAAAGGTCTAAAGTTACTTGTAGTAGATGTCGTCAAGTTGGCCACAACAGGACGACATGTTCAAATTATCCTGTGCAAAAAAAATGATTATTTGTTTTGTCTTTTAGACTAATTTTTTGATTTGATATAAACATAATTGCTTTGAAATGCATTATAACTAAGTGTTTAATATACTGTCAATTTTTTATACGCAATGCATTCATTAATCATACAAATTTCATACTGTTGGAAATAAAATTTATTTCAATTTAATATATAAGATAGTGTTAATATTAGTGATAATTATACAAGGTAATTATGGAATGCATTTGGTATCCTGAGTAATATCAAATCTTTATACTAATTCATGCATACAATATTCCTACAATCAAAACATTAAAGTCAGATGCATACATCTATTAATCAGATTTCATACACATTTCATCAAAAATATGTTTATAATATAAAACTGGCATACCCAAAAATGGTATATTCGATGTGAAATATATAGCCCAAATAGTGAATCCAACTTGTATGAAGTCTGTATATAATTGGCATCCTGATAAATGGTAATTCTTTTGTAGATGATATCTGACTGGAATTAAAAATAATTGGTTTGAAATGCATTATAACTAAGTGTTTAATATACTGTTCATTTTTTATACGCGATGCATTCTTTAATCATACAAATTGCATACTGTTGTAAATAAAATTTATTTCAATTTAATATATAAGATACTGTTAATATTAGTGATAATTATACAATGTAATTGTGGAATGCATTTGGTATCTTGAGATATTAATGTAGTTTATCATAAATATTAATTTGGTTTATTCCAATCTTATTCAGTGTGTCATTCAAATACTACCTTCAGTTTATATCAAATCTTTGTACAAATTCATACATGTATTAATCCGATTTCATACACATTCCATCAAAAAATATCTTTAGAATATAAAACTGGCATCCCGGAAAATGGTATATTCAATGTGTAATATATACCCCAAGTAGTGAATCCAACTGGTATGAAGTCTGTATATAACTGGCATCCCGATAAATGGTAATTCTTTTGTAGATGATATCTGATTGGAATTAAACAGATGATATTATATATCATCAAATACTTTAACACAAAAAATTGTCCAAAAGTTAAAAAAAAAAAAATGTTGTTCTAAAAAAGTAGAAGGTGCAATAGACTATATCTAATTTCTTGTCCGTTGTCTTGGTGTAGGATAGTTGGTGGTATCCGGAACATGTTCTTTTGCTATGCGAGGTCCACCAAATTTGCTAGCAACCGTACCAGTAACTTCACTCTCACTGATCGCACCATCCTCATTCTTTGTTTTTCCATAATGCCAAAAGATTGTGGCATACCTTTGACGATGGTACTTTGCATCGATATCAATAGAACGCATATCAAAAACATCATTACTGATGTATTCAGCAAATAGACATGTGTACAAACCACAATCACTGAAAAAATGAAAAAAATAAGAAAGAAAAAAAAAATTAAGAAATAAATTAATTTAAACTCTTTTCTAATGAAATCAGTTAAGTATAAAAATACGTACTTTGAAATATCTTCTTGTTGAGGAGCATGCATCATATGCTTGATATCAAGTGGGTCGGATTGAGACTTGTGTACATATTTAGGGAGTTTATTTGCATACAAATCAAGCCTTTTACCATAAAATCCAGTGCTCGTCAGAAATAGTGGTATCATTGTTGCAAGTTTACCAACTGCTTCATTTACTTTCTTGGTGTGAACAGCTCCTCCCTTCATTGAGTCGTATACATGTAGACATCTAAGCTTGATTCTGAATACAACCAAAAACCAATGAAATTTCTCACTAATATTGACAGGAATAATGACATTGTCAACTTTGTCCCAAGGAATGTTGGCAAGCAGTTTGAATCCTCTAATGCACTGTCCAACATCATGGTCCGGAGAAATGGATCTCATGTCGCAATTTGACTCTCTCCATTGTTTCTCAATGTTATCAACCCACGTCATAAACCAACAATCAACCGTACTGTATGATAGTGGTATGGGAGAGTACTTTGCCTTCTTTCGCAGATAATACATAATGGTATTAACATGCTGTTAACATTTAAAAATACATTAAAAAATGTTTCAGATATATACAGAATGTTCATGAAAGTTTATTTTTATTCCAAATTAAATCAAAAATCATAACAAATGCATACATGAACACTGTATACCAAGTTTATTCAGAAATCATTCAATATGCATACAACATGGATATATATATTTTAAACAGAAACTACAAATATAAGTACAAAAATAAGGAATACGAGTTTTAAATTGACATTTATAAAAGGTTTATATATAAGACTTACCCCGTCTTCCCAAGGCCTGCCAGGTTTAACCATTATGTTGAAAAAATCCTTTTCTGCAACTTTGACAACACCAAAGTCCATTTGAGGTTCAAAACTATCTTTGAGCTTTGAATAAGCAGATTTCCTGTGAACAGTAAGAATATATTAAAAACAGTGTATACAAATTGATTGGATAATATTGAAAGAAAAAAGATTGCTTTATTTTTATTTATACATATACCTGCCACGCCTAGATGAGACTAAGGCTGGCAAGGGGACGGGGACGGGGACTGGGGGACGGGACGAAGGGGGACGGGACGGGACGGGGGACGGATCTGGGGGGATTTTGGGGGGACCGGGATTGGGGGGACCGGGATTGGGGGGACAAAAATAAGTCCCATCCCGTCCCACTATATATACGGGATGGGACGGGTTTTGGGGGGACGGGACGGGGGATTTTTTATTTTTTATATACTTATTTATTTGTATTGAAATTATATGTTATTGAATAACATTTTTAGTTTATTTGATTTTTTTTCAATAATATTTTTAGCTAATAAATAATGCTTAAGTTTTCAAATTTCAAAATTCAAATTTCAATTTCAAACTTCAAATTTCAAACTTCAAATTTCAAATTTCAAATTTCAAATTTCAAATTCAACTTTCAAATTTCAAATTTCAAATTCAACTTTCAAATTTCAAACTTCAATTTTCAATTTTCAATTTTGAAATTACAAATTTGAGAAGTTCAAATTTGTCTTTTAAATATTTTAAAGTAATTTAAACTTGAAATTTTGATTTTGAAGAAAAGGCCCCAAAAAAGGACGTTATGTGCAATACTTTGAATTTTCCTTCTTTTTTTTTTTTTTAATAATCTAGGTGTTAGTTGATGTATTAAAGTTCCATTTTTTAACATTTGTTCCTTATTATAAAATTTTGTAATAGCTAGTTCTCTTTTTATTATGTTCAACTATTTTCAAACAAATTAGTATATATGTAAATATGTATGAATATATTAAAATTAAAATGCAAGACAATAGTTATATAAAAAAGACTTAATAAAGCCTTCAAATTTATTCAATAAAATCTAATTGCAACTTAGAACTTAGAAGTTACAATTTACAAATATTAGTGGAGTAACTAATCTACGCAGCCACCTTCTAGGAAGGGTTCTGTTTCAATAAGTTCTCATATGTAAAACTAATATTTGTTACAAATATTAGATGAGTAACTAATTTACGCAGCCACCTTCTAGGAAGGGTTCTGTTTCAATTAGTTCTCTGATGTAATCTAATATTTGTATTTTCCTTTAAAATTCAATTCTAATTGTCGCATCATATCGACGGTAACATCCTCCGGTGTTGGCAAACTTGCTAGAAACTCTTGTGACTCTAATTCATCATCACTAGATCCAAGTACCGCATTAATCCAAGCTTCTTGTTTGGAACTTAACTTTGGCAAATTATCATTTCTCCTTTCGGCATTGACCCAATCCCTAAATAAAACTGATATTTCCAAACTGTCTTCCGCCAATGAATGTCTATGATCGCCAAGTTGAAACCTTGCCGCACTAAAAGCAGCCTCTGATGCAACTGATGAAGCTTGAATAGCTAGAACATCACGAACCATTTTGCTTAAAATTGGAAATGCAACGCTCCGCCTCCTCCACCATGCTAATAAATCTTCATTGCCATCTTCGTCTTCCACTGTTTCTAAAGATTGATTAAGATATTCTTCAAAATCATCACGGTTAGTAGAATTAAGACCAAGAAAATCTCGCATATAACTTGAAATTCGAGCTTTACTCTGAGGATTAGAAGTTTGACCAACTTCTTGAATATTTCCTGTAGTTCTATATTTTTCATACAAAATTTTTGCTTCTACTTTTATGCTACACTTACACATTTGACTAGTTGGATTTATTTCCGGTGAAATTTCTAAGGTATTATAAAAAGTGTCAACAAGTCCCTGCACACCTTGTAATTTATAGTCAGGATGAAGTAAAGTAGCAGTTAAAAAAATTTGAGGAATAGGAAAAAAATATTTTTTAAATTTTTCAATCATACCTTCAATTGCAACTCTAAATTTTTCAATATTTTTGTATTTAGAAAATTGAATTGAAATAGCACAAATATTTATTAATACTGATGAAATAGTAGGATAATAAATTCCAGAAAACATGGTTGTTGCATCATAAAAAAGTCTTAAAAATTCTAATAGTTCATTACTTTCTTCCCAATCTTCTTCACAAATTCTGTCTAATGGGTCAGCATTATGAGCATTAAACACCATTTGTATGGGTCCTCTATATTCGTAAGCAACTGAAAGCATTTCGTAAAAAGAATTCCACCTTGTTTTAATATGTCTTGGAATTTTTCTTGGTGGCAAATCACATAGTACACAACGCTCATTAAATTCCCTAATTCTAGCAGGTCTATTAGCATAAAAAATCCAGGCAACAGCATATTCAATTTTCATACAACCACATTCAAATAATGAAATACCATCTTGTACAACTAAATTTAATACATGTGCAACACATCTAACATGAAAAGAATTATCATCAATTGGA